AAGCAGGAAATGGCGCTGGCGGGCCTGGCTCAGTGGACAGAGCGTTGGCCTGTGGACTGAAGGGCCCTGGGTTCGATTCTGGTCAAGGGCCTGTGCCTGGTCGTGGCTCTGCAGGAGGCAACCAATCAATGCGTCTCTCTGTCTCCCCTCATCCCTTCCACTTTCTCTAAAGATCAATGGAAATAAAGAAATAAAAATAGAAACCAATGGAGAAATATCCTCAGCTCAGGAGCCTGCACTCGCTGCGACCCCACGCAGAGGCCTGGAGGCGGCGCGAGGCCAGGGACTCCCTCCCCAAAGTCCTTGGCCCTCCCACCCAAGCAGCCAGAGCAGACCTAGCCGCCCACCTTGAGCTTGGAGTGCCGGCTGCAGGAGGACAGCACCGCCAGCTTCCGCGGCCTGCCCCGGGGCCGCTTGCCTTTCTTCCGGTTCTGCACCTCCTTCTCCTGTTCCCTGAAGAGAATCACCATCGGGGTCACAGAACCGCCCGCACACAGAACCCCATGGCTTCAAACCCCGTCCCCTCCAGCCCAGCCCTCTGCAGCGCCCATGATGTTTGCACGCCCCTCCATTCCACTGGCATCGGGTAAAGACAAGTCGAAGAGAGCCAAGCGAACCCCGCACGTGAACAGTTTCGGGCTCTCCGATTCCGACTCCACGTACAGCACACCTGACCCAGGCCTTTCCGCGGGCAGAATGTTTCCGGAGAATTCTAGAATGCCACGAGGGGTCGTGTGGTCACGTGGCCCAATCTCCTCATTTCAAACCGGAGTCCAGGCCGAGTGAGGACCTGCCCCCAGCACCCCCCTACCCCTCGCAACTACCCGCACAAAACCTGCAGGTCTGAGGAGCACAGAGAACCCACGGCTCTGCTGGCTCCGCACGGGGTCTTCCCGGGCCAGTGCCCTGCGCAGTCCCGCCTGTTCCCCTTCCTAAGACGCCCGGTTCCTGGATCCCACAGAGGCCGAGCTCGAAGCCCCAGGACGCCCTCAACCAGCCCCGACGAGGCCACGGACAAGAGATGCCTCCCAGCCCCTCGAGAGAGTCTGTGTTTCAGGCTATTGCCCATCCCCCGGGAAGAGGATCTACCTGGAGGGGTTCCCTGATCATTAAAACGGGCCGACGCCATCTCCCTGGGGCCTCGCCGGTGACCCTTACAGGGTCCAGTGAGCACCACCAGCTGGAGCGGACACTCCGAGGCAGCCCGACCGTCTCCTACGTCACCGCTAGCTCCGGCCTCCGGCGGGACCTCCCGCCCATTTCCGGGAGAAAGAGCACCCACCGCCCAGGATGTGACCCAGGCCACCGGCTTTACCTCTCTGGCCTCTCAGGGTCCGACAGCCCCATCTCGGTATCCTCGCTGACCCC